CAGGATTAGTTTTTTTTTTGTTTTTAAGTTTTGCAAAAATTTCCAAATTAATGTGTTTTTTTTTACCAGATAAAGGCACTAAAACACCCATAGTAAATCTTAGGCCAACTGCTGACACAATTAAAAAATTTAATAAAAAATAGTTTGAACTTCCTTCTTAATAATAAACATCAGAGGACAAAACTTTGTTTTTTATTAAGACTGAGGCCTTTTTTTATTTTGCTATGCTGTTTTTTCAGCGGTTTAGTGGAGATACCTAAAAAAAAAAACTTCTAACATAGTATAAAAAAAAAAAAAAATAAAAAAAAATATTCATTATACTAAGTTTCAAAAGTATATACAATAAAACATATCCTTAAACTATTGGTCAACTAATTTTTTAAATACCAATTTCTTGATTGTATTGGTGTTCCACATATAGGTACCATCATGAGATTGCTAAAAACAAAGCATAGATTGATGAAAAAGATGCCAAAACAAAATTTTATAGTCTAAATGCTTGTTATCATTAAGAGCAAAGATCAAAGTATTTTTTGATTATTTTTTTAAATGTTTCCTTCTTTTTCGAACATTCTAAATTTTGATTAAAACACCTTGTGTCTCTTTGTATCACCAGAACTAGTAAAATAACATAAAATTTTAGCACATTTTTTTCTGTGACAGATATTAATTTTGAAAATCTTGCAAAAATAAAAATAATTGTTGGATTTTAATGAAACGTTCAGAAACTATTCACTAGAGATGGAATAAATGTTTTCTTTTTTTAAAGTTATGTTTTTTTTTTTTTCATATGTATTACTCCCCTATAACGAATTGCACGAAAACTCTATAATTTCAATTTTGGGAAGATTAGTGATTATATTAGTTAAAAGCACACGGCTTTGAGGAAACCAAATCATGTTTTTTTTTTTTTGTTGGACCACATCTACCTGAAAATCATTTCTGAATTGTAACATACAAAACTCAATAAAACAAAAATATTATTTAATTTCAAAAGCTTTTAATTGCTTTTATTTATTTTAATGAACATGGACAATATTGTCTGAAAGCCAAAAGATATTTCAATGAAAAATGAATTTTTAAAACATTTATTTGTTATTTCTGAAATATTTCATTATTATTACATTAATGTTGGTAATTCTTCTAAAATTAGGGAAAGTTTGTAAAATTTAACCAATGTTGTTATTAAGTAGATATATATTTACAGATTGTAATTTCCAAAGCTTCTTACAAACTAAGGAACACCAGTATATAAAAAAATATTTGTATCAATAAGACTGTAAATCAAATCTATGGAAGACCGGAAGTATCATATGTGCAATAAAATAAAAAAAAAAACATCACGTGAATCGAGTTTCTGTCTAGTATTTAACTTAAATACTGAATTTTTAATACAATTATTTGTTATTTCTTCAATTATAATAGATTTTGAGATTTAAGTTGTTAAAATATTATAAAATTAGTTAAAAGCTGCATTCAGTTTCGTAAATGTCCTTTTGAGATAGATTTATTTTTACAAAACACATGTGAAGTTAACTTGATTTTTCAATTTCAACTGAGAAGGGTACCTACAAGTATCAGTATCATCTTATGAAATTTAAATTTATATTTCATGTACACTTCTGATAAAATTTAATAAGAAAGGTACCTTTAAATTAATTAGATACCTTCCTTATGAAATTTAATCTCACTCTCAAGTCTTATTTTAATTTCTTAATAATATATTTTCCATAAAGCATTGTAAACATGAAGGCTAAGTACAAAAAAAAAAAAAATTAGAGCGCTGAAAATTTTCCTTAAAAATAATGAGGTAAATAATTTGTTCACTTAAATCTAAATAATTTCACTTCTCTCCTTCCGTAGAAAGAATTATCTTCACATAAGGTATCAATGTCATGAAAATGTCTTTAGTCACCTATCAAGTGATGCGAAATGTTATGACCTGCTTTGATTTATTTTCAAACTACATCTTTTCAGTGCAGAAACTAAGTTAAGCTTGTTTCAAAATATTTTAAATAAACATTATAATTTTTGATTTTCTTAAAATTAGTTTTGAACAAATTATAATTGATTTTTAAAAGAATTTCAAATTGCGATTTTCATTTTTTTTACAAAATGGTAAAAAAATGGTTGCTATGATTGATTATCTGTCAATTTTGCTGACTAAAACAAAAAAAAGATTTTTAACGAAAATTTTGGATAATTAACGAAAATTTTAGGAACAATTAAAAAATGTAAAAAAAAAAAAAATACCCCCTAAAAATACTTTGATCTTTTCTCTTAATAATAACAAACATTTACACGATAAAGTTTTGTTTTCGTCAAGTTTGGCGTCTTTTTCGTCATACTATTCTTTTTTAGCGATCTCATGAAGTTACCAACATTTTTTTAAATTTGTGCGCTTTTTAAGAGAGGGGTTATATGAGAAGATTAGAATTGTGACCTAACATCACAAGTAAAACGTTATGTTATGTAAGGGAGACACGGTGGAGTAATGGATAGCGGTTCGGATTTAGTAATCGAAGAGCAGAGTTCGAATTCCATTCGATTCAAGGTACGAATCCTCTTCTCCCCCCAACTATAGACAGGGCTCTTGGGTGGCAACTGGTCTATCACAGAATGAAATGGCAACCTACTGCGGGGGAAAAAAATTGCCTCGTCAGCCATGTATCGAAGCATGGCACATAACTGACTTAAAGAATTACTTTTGAAAAAAAAAAAAAAAAATATTGAATTTTTAAATTTTTCGTTTACATTTTTTCGTCTGTAGAGATTCGATGATTGACGAGCGAACGTGCCAATGTTTTTTTAAAAAAGTAACTAACAACTTTTTTTTTTAACACATGAGGCTACCTCTCAAGAATAAAAACCAAAGTTAAGTTTTTTAAAACAATCAATGTCAAAAGATATTTAATTAAATTATTTAAAATGCGTTTTGGGTGAATTTTTTTGTAGTAAGTCTGTGTCTAGTGTGTACTGTTCCACCACTCACTTTTTCCAAAAACCATGTGCGAATTTTCATGTCAAAGGAAAATAAAATAAACTGGAAGAAGAAATGAAATTAAAACGAGCACTCTCTGCTCCAGTAAAGTGAACAGAATTTGTTATATATATATATATATATATATACATACACACACACAAAAAAAATAGGGAATTGGTCACGTGATATGCATAACCCCTAATGCCGAAAGTAAATTTTTAATTTCTTGCTTTTTTTCGCTCGAAGTTGATAAGAAATCAAATTATTTTGCTACAGATAACATATAAAAATTAATAAAAAAAATATTTGTTGGGAGGGGGTAGAAAAAAAAAAATCAGTTTTTCCAACGTTTGAATTACTAAAAAAAACAAAAACTTTGGCGGAGAAAATCACTCCTAGTATTCAAGATTTTATTTCACTTTTTCTTTTTTTTTATTTATTATGATTGGACCAGCTATTTAGTGAAACAAGTGACAAATGAAATTATTGAACAAACAAAATTTCAGATTCCCTCAGACTAGGAAAATAGACCAAACAAATCTTCAAGATTGGAATTGAATAGGGTTTCACTCAGTCTCCTATTTCGATCTGAAAAATAGTAACTGACTGCTACAAATCAAGGAATAACGTTAATAATTAAAAACGCACACAGTCTCGATATTTATCTATTGAAAGAACTTAAAAGTCAATTAAATGATGAGTCACAAGAATAATTTTATGGAGGCGCTGAAAAGTTTTCGGTCCGACCATGAAGACGAAAAAAAAAAATTGATGCTGACTGAGAACTTTTTTTAGCGCGTCCCTCATATTTGAAAAGTTTGAAAAACTTCACAAAATATCATGAATTGAAGAATATATACTTTTTGGTATATTTCATTTTTTTTTTTAATAGTACTGAACCTCATATTCTGAGCACACTTTTTCCATAAATGGATATTCCAACTACTGTAGTGTAACGAAATTTACTTTAGTTCACGAATTAACGGTTTCATATACAAAAATTGCCTTTCGGCCTGTCTAAATTTCGTAAAGACTTTAAATTCAACTTTAAAATGTATACCTTTAGAATTTTTTTTTTAAATTTCACAATTGAAAATAAAAAAAATACCAAGGTGAAAAAAATGGTCCCAAGTGAAAAGTGTTATGTATACTGTACACAGAGATATTCTACCAATGAATCTAATGTGCTTTCATTTTCCCCTCCCCTCACTCTTTGCCGAGGTGGGGAGGTTATATGAGGATTTTCGACACCTTTTGAGTGGATTTGAATAGCGAGTACATTGTAAAAATTGAATCTGATAGAAAAAAAATTAAAAGTATTTTATTGACTGAAACAAAGGAGGAAATGACAAGGTAAAAAAAAAAAAAAAAAAAAAATTACTGGAGGTAAAAAAGTAGAAATATCGAAGAAAAAAAAAATGTTGAAAAAAAAAGAAGAGAAAAAGAAACTAAACAGGTACTTTTTGAGGGTAAAAATAAATTACATCCACATGTACTTTTTTAACCATAAGGATTTTTTTTTTATTTGTCAAAGTTAGTCTAGTAATTCTTCAAAAATTTAGTTTTTTATAAGAAAAGTAAAAAAAAAGATGAAAATGCTTTGTAAATTTTTATTCTTTTTAAAGTGGAAAAAAAAACTTTGGAACTTATGCTTTTCAAATTTACCTCAAAAAAGTTTGTACGAAAAACTAGAAAAAAAAAGAAAAGTTGTGATAAAGTTTTTGTCCGTACTTTAAGATCCAGAAAAATTTCCTTTTACGAAAGAAACTTTCCTAAATATATATTTTTCTAAAAGTTTTGCTGAAGAAATCTATTAGAAGAAAAAAAACAGCATGTTAACTTTTTTCTTGAGTACTTGAGACTTTTCGAAGATTTTAAAACTGTTCAAAAGTAACTTGTAATGGACAATTTGTAACTTTTGAAACATAACTTAGTGTCATTATCGTCTGTTACCATATAAAAATTATAAAAGAATATTGCGACAAAAGAAATTACAAACTTTGTAAATATTACTTACTTGAGATTTGACCTAAGGACTACGGCAACAACGTGAAAAGGAAATAGTACCGTATGACATAACATAAGCAAAAAAGAACTGACGGCGTTTTGATTGGCTGATAAACAACTTCTAAACTATCACAAATAAAAATATGTTACGTATAAAAAATTTGAACAGAAAACAATATGAACAAGAATTTTTTTCTTTATTCATGAAAATTGAATTTATTTATTTAAATATGGAAATATGCACCTCATATATTTTCTCCTTATTGCCTATTTGTTGTTATTTTTTTAAACTTCCGGCCAGCTGTTGGTTTTAACGCGCTATTCAGAAATGGTTACTACAGATCAGTGGTTTTTAAACTCGGTAATTCGCTAAATATGAATAAAACTGGATTTTTGAGTTTGATACCGAAGACATTTTATGTACAGCCCGAAATTTTCTGGAGTTTATTGACACCTAAAAAAAAAACACTATCTTATTGTCAGAGAAAATGACGACAATTACTCATTCGTTAAAAAAAAAAAAAAGATGGTACACCTTTTAAAAAGAAACTTGTACAAAGACCACTAAAAAATGCTCCCGTTTCCAATCACTACATAACTTATCTGAAGCAAGGTTTTCGACAATATTCAACAATTGAATACCGAACTCGTCTCAACGAAGACAAATTTGCGGGTGTCGAAAATGAATCCAGAACAAAAACTCGGAACTGTTCCAAAACTAAAAGTGTACAAAATTCCAGTCTCATAAATAAATAATAATAATAAAAAGGTCTCATATATACAAGAAAAATAAACAAATTTAACATTAAAAAATCAAGGAAATTTTAATTCAAATTTTAATGTCAAATTGAGGTATTACAAGAAAGATCTATTTCTGTCGGGTACTTCACAAGTTTAGGGGCCGCTCTGGTTGCTATAGTAATTCATTGTAAATCATTCCAACCTTTAAAGAAAACGTTTTTAAACAATGCTATGATCACATATTCGATATGTTTCATAGTTAGGGAGGGAGTCCTAGTATCCCATACCCAACATTATGTAAAGAAAGAAAGGATGATTTTGTTTGCACAAAAATCGTAAACAAAGGACGGAAATCGGATATGAATTCATGAATTACGCCGAATTAAGGGCTTATAGATTTTTATTGGCGAAATAACTTTCTTAGTGTATATTAAATTGGATTGTCTCAATTTGACATTAAAATTTGAATTAAAATTTTCTTGAATTTTCAATGCTAAATTTTGTGTCTAGTTTTTTATGAGACTGGGATTTTGTCAACTTTTCATAAAAGAAAGGCTAATGTTGTCTTTTTTTGTCAACTGGGAATTTGTCCGGTTTAATATCAAAAACAAATCCACACATTCAGAGTTTGCTAAAGAAAAGAACATATCCATCCATATCATTAATTTTTTTTATATTGCCAATTCATTTTAGTCTTCCAACTTAAAATTGTTACTTTTTTCACAGCGCTTGAGGATGGTACGAAAGATACCTAAAACAAACAGTTTGCTAGAAGCAAAAAACTAAATTTGTCTTCTTAAACTCAGTCTATCAATTATTTTTTAGTTGAGTTTTATATAAAAAAAATACTATCATTTAATTTTCAAAATAAATCCGAAAACTAAAATGTAATTTTCTTTTTCTTTTTTACCCGAAATATTGATTTTTTAAACTTAGTCTTATCATTTAAAAGTTTTAAAGTCAATCATACTAAAAAAATTGGTTTAGGTTTCATACCAGAAAATAAGTGCAAGCGAAAAGCAAAAGTGAATGAAATAACAAAAATAAAAACTATTCAATATCAAAACAAAAATAAATGTTATGTTATAGTCGGATAAAAGATCTTTTTAAAACACTATTAAAAAACAAAACAAAAAAAAAAAAACTGTTTTTTCCTTCCGCCTGACATTTAATTTTGTGGCTAGGTACTTACCCGTCTTCCTCACCGAGGTTGGATGTGACACAAGGTCGTTTTAACATGGGGAGCGTCATACACATACTTACTTATGCATATGGGCAAAGGAAAAATTGTTTTTTGCCCAACCCCCGCGACCACTATCACTGGTATCGGTAATTAATTACCCAACGTTTTTTTGAGTTTGTGCAATGAGGAAGGTGCTGCTGCAGGGTAACTCCGGTGACCAGGTACCTCCGCTGCTGTTTGTATTTCTTAATTTGACACAGGGTCAAATGTAAGGTTCCGTTAGGAAGATTGCACTCTGCCAATCTTTCAAGTAGAGACAGGCTGCTTTGAAAATGAGTACTCGAAATACTGGATTTTATTTTTACCTGAGTTCGGACATTTTTTAGACAGTGTGTGGCGCCAATAGAAAACAGGATCGTTTTCAATATCCTATAATTTAAAACATTTTATGAAAAGAATAAAACCCTGGTGTAACGGATATCGGCAAGCTGAGTTCAAATTCTTGGCTAGTCTGTTACGTTCACTTTCGCAATGATGCTCTTGGGAAAGGCATGATACCGTCTCTTATTTCCCAATTTATGGGTTGAATAGCGGATCAGATTATGTTCTTTAGCCTTGAGTGACAACCAGTCTAAAATAATGACACTTTTGAATTCAATTCGTGGAGGAGGCAATATGACATTCATTCACTATATCTTCGAAGATTGCATCATAGCAATTCACAGAAAGAAAATGAATCTGTCTCGAACCATGATCGTTTACGTAATAAGTGTTGCCAATCATCCCGTGCGGTAAAAAAATCGATGATTCTTTAGAAGAATTTCGCGTAAATTTTGCCTTGTAAAAAAACACAAACAGCTGAAATACACACGAAATCCCCCCTCTCCATCTATCTATCTATCTATCTATCTATCTATCTATCTATCTATCAATCTATCTATCTATCTATCTCACACACAAACACAATTTCTATCATTAAAAAATACCAAATTAATCTTCTAATTCATCTTTGTGGGTACTTTGACTCCTGATTGGTAAACTGATCCTAGGACCTAACGGAGTCCGCAGACACAATGTTTTGAAACATTCTATCTACAGCGCCCCCTCTCCCGTTGAGAAATACTCCCCTGTCCTACATTGTCATTTTAGGGAGTTGGCAACCTTACTACGTCCTGAAGGCTCATGATATTTTTTTCTTTAAATAATAATGGTTTTTTAAAAACATCGAAATGTTTAATGCCACTTTAGTAATCTGTCTATATTTCTGAGATGAGGTATTGTAATTATTTACCCTATTTACATTGTTCGGACTGTGGTTCTCATCTTTGTTGCCATATTCATGAAGTTTCGGCCGTCGTACGCCCCGGCCTTCTTCGGGTTTTTGGAATTTCGAACTGAACCCTTCCGTTTTATGTGGGAAGTGGTCCGTGTTTTTTATTAGGATCTACGACAGTTTTCATTCTGTTTTCAGTGTTGGAAATTTTTTTTTGTAGCTACCATTTAGGTCTCTTCCAGTTTTTCTGTATATTCCGATTTGTTTATCACTACAGTCACGTTACCTTTGTCACTTGGTAGTATGATGATGTTTCCATTCCTCTGTAAGGTTCTGATTAGCAGCCTCTTCATTTTCGTGATATTTGATTTGGGCAGCTTGGCTTTCTCCAGTATCTGTCTCACTTTCCATCTTAACTCATCCGACCTAGCCTGAAGGGTGTTCAAGGTTATTTACTCAATTCTGGCAATGGTCCAAGTATGGTATCCATATGATGGTTTTGGCGAAGTTGAGACTCTTGTCCTCAGAGGCACTCAGCTGGTGTTGACTGATCTTGATTACTGCCTTCACTGGGGAGTGATGTACCTTGTGCGTCACCTTCTGATCTTTCAGTCTGTTTATTTATTTGTTTGTTTATTTATTGTACTTGGCGGGTCTTGACTGTATCGAATTCGTGTCTGAAGTATTTATCCAGGTCATGCTGGATCCTCTTTCAGTCTTCGTCGGTAATTCTGTTGAAGAAGGTCTCGAACCTCAGAGAGATATCAGATTTCAGTTTTTGTTTTATCCAAAGGTTGTACTGGATTCTTTCTCGGACAAGGACGTGTGCCGTTTTTTTTTTTTTTTTTTTTTTCGATCAGACGGGATCTCCTTGAATTGACAGGAGGTCTTAGTGCTAAACCTGAAAGGATGAGTCGAAAGTCTCTACATCGCTGTAGGAATGTTAGATGGTTCGATAGTCGTGCCAGCTTCTGGTGGGACTTTTCTAATTGTCTCCATATTTTCGGTATATCGGGTCCGTACCAATCCTACAATATATGTCTATATTTCTGAGATGAGGTATTGTAATTATTTACACTATTTACATTGTTCGGACTGTTGTCCTCATCTTTGTTGCCATATACACGACGTTTCGATCGTTGTACGCTCCGGCCCTTTTCAGGTGATTACAATTTCGAACTGAACCCCTTATTTCATCCACCGGAGTTGATTGTTCTAGTTTGACGTGCCATGTCTCTTCCAGGTGTCGGAGTTATCTCCCTTTAACTCAACTCTGTAAGTTCTTGTTCACTACAGTACATATGCTAGGTCATAAAAATATCCTAAGAGTAAGACGGACAAGCATAGAGAAATGAATACAATATATAATATTATATAAATACAATATACAATACAGTAATATAGAGTGCTAGAGAAAGCAATAATAACAACAAAAATTGTAAAAAATGTTTACTGAAACATTAAGTTTATAAGTCCCAAAAATTCATACACACATGGCCCAACGTCAGTTGGATCCAGTGACTTGACCCAAAGAGTTGTGAATTCAGTACCTGCAGTAGTGAACAAAAAACTTGGAGAGTTAAGTTGGGGTTTCTCTCACACATGCACACACGTGTGTATCACACATGCTTGTATCACACATTCAAACAAGCACATTCTTAATAGCTAAGTTTTCAATGTATTTTCTTTTCGTTTCGACTGTGTACACATTAATGTAATTTCTTTATATTAATACATGCATTAAATATCATTTGTTTTAAAATTCATCTTTGCGTTTTTTTATTTTTATCTAGACTCACAGGAGTTCACCAAATATTGTTTGCGGGACGGATGTTACAGGAGTTATTAAATATTTAATGAAAAACGTCCATATCTTGCAATATAAAGAGGTGGTTCACGCAACAAGTTAATGCTTTTAAAATGCAACTCCTTAAAGTACACTTAAAAAAAAAGACATATGGTCATGCTGCCCGAAAGTAACAAATGATGTCACTATCTGCCGCGCCCATTAATGTTAGTAGTTGTAAAAAGCATATTTGGAGAGAAAGAGAGAAACAGAAAGAAATGATTGATTGATTCGTTTTCTATAACTTATTAACCCTTTGTCTTGTTATTTAAAACCAGAAAATATTTTTAGATTGTAAGAATTTTTTCTTTGGAGATAATAATGGTTTAGCGATGCAAGTCTTACTAATTAACCCATAACTGGGGGAGAAGAGTAGATTGATACTTTTCCCAAGTGTATTTGCGCGCAAGTGAATATAATGAGCCCAATGGAAATTCGATATTGGCTCTTCGATTAACAATTCCGTGCCGTTATCCATTAGACCACCCGCACATCCAAGCTTACAGCACCTGGTATTCCCAAGCATTCACTCATCTAGGTACTAATCAGTCTCGACGTTGCTTAACTTTGGTGATCGCACAGAAACCGAGAGAGAGAGAGAGAGAGAGAGAGAGAGAGAGGCAAATCATTCGAGACTGGATACAAACGGGAAATAAATCATTTAGTGTGAGTTACACAGAACACAATTTACAACAAACAACTAATAAGAAAGAAATGTACATGTGTGGATGGTGTCTATACCTGAAATGTACAAATGTATGAGTCTTTTTTCAAGACCACGATGTGTCCTGGTTGTAAAGGCTGTATTCTGGGAGGCGTTAACACGGCATCTTTCTACAAGAACTGATGAAAAAGAGGCCGAGCATTGTGACCAATGTCCGGAGAGAGAGAGAGAGAGAGAAAAGAAAGGGGCCCCTTGCACCTTTTTTTCTTCTTTAATACGCTCCCGCAAGCGATTCTCATTGGTTCCGCGGCAGACTACGTAATGTCTGTTTTTAGCCACGGAAATAAGCATGATATGCACATTTTAATTTCTGTTAAACTCCACAAGATAAATATATATAAAGATAACCCTCCACGTGTTGAATTCGTTTCTTTTTAAAAATTTTCAACCCATGTCATCGCAAGTCTTGACACCATCCGTGATAATGAGAATAATTCCATATTTTTCACAGCCCCATTATAAAGTCCTGGCATTGTGTTGCTCTCCTTCCTTCGAACTTACTCAGTGATTAGCAGCGGCTATTCTGGAACTCTGAAAATGTGTGTGTGGAGGGGCACATGGGTGCCGAGATTTTTCTGCGGAGGATGGGGGTGGGGCTGTAAATTCAAGCAGCGTCTTTATTTTCATACTACACCACTAACTTAGGAATTAATTTTTTTAGTATAAGTATGTTACTTCACTAAATTAAACGGAATAACTTTTCATTCATAGTAGTGGAGTTCTAATCTATTCTTGCCCTCTTTTCCACTCTCCAGCTGTTGGACCACAAGAGAGGTTCAACTTCAAAACAAAATCAAAGGGTTAAACGTCAATACTAGCAGAACAGTGTAATTTGTCTGTTCTGATTTATTTTCCTCTACAAAACTTAAAAATGTCGGGGGCCAACCAAAGTTCGGGGGGGGCATTGGCCCTTCTCCCCCGGTAGAATCGCCACTTTGTTCTTATTGAACTTGCCAGATCGTAGATATGGCTATGCCGATAAAGAAGTGAGAAATTGGGAAGCAATAATAAATAATAATAATAAATGATCTGGTGCTACATCAAGTATAGCTCTCATGGATTTTGAAACTGAGTAGAAGCGTTAACAAATATGATTTAAATTAAGATAATCCGCAGTAAATATCCCGTTCAGTGCCACAGATTTGCTTGTCAGTTGCCTAACTTAAGTAATTTATTTAACATGCCCCCTACTGGCCGATTCATTGTGTATCACTGTCCATGGGCGGGAGTAGTGGAGGAGCATCATGGCTGGGTATCGAGAGGGCTGTTTTTAGGTTTAAACACGCCAACAAAATAACTAGTGTGTGGATCATAAAAGGTATACCAGGCACATGTATCACAGCTAAATGTGCACGATATAGGGACAGATTTTGATAAGGACAACGTATCGAATTACACTCCATTTGATACATTACCTTCATAGTCGATATATAGGTGTACCATCATCACGTGATGATGCTGATGCATATTGACAACTACGCCACGAAACTAAAACCTGCAAAGTGAAAACTGTCTTTCAGCAATTATGCATTTCAAAGTATTATTTTAAAATTCATACTTAGTAGCATATTTGCGAAACTGAACACTGGAGGCAGTACCATTTCAGAAATTGTACAAGAATGTTCTGTAATTAATTAGAATTTAATTAATTTATTCATGCAATAGAAAAACCCGTCCTCTGTTCTAAACAATCAGAAAAGTAAAAAAAAATGTTAACATTAAAAAAAATGTAACAATTCCTAAAGTTGAAAAATGTGATGAGTCAATCAATGCTGAAGTCTTTTACATCCAAAAAATAATATTATCTTTCTTAACTAATTGGAAATTCAACAAGGGTTGCAATTAACTACTTTTAATTAAATATATATACTGTTTAGCAGTCTCTAAAAAGATTTTGCCGGATTTGAGTTCATTTGGATAATAGCGCGTTTCATGACACTTCCGGTTATTCACTGCGGGATTACAACATCATGGCTGACAAAAACAGTTTCTGTGCTTTACCGCTTTCTCGTGTGAAAACTATTATGAAAAGTTCTCCAGATGTTTCCAGTATAAGTCAGGAAGCTTTGTTTCTTACTGGAAAAGCTACAGTGAGTATATGATCTATCGTTCCTTTGCAGGGTCGCCTTATTTTCTTTGAAGATTTTCTTTCTAATGTTTTGCCTAAGCTGAAGCAGGTAGATTTTTTTGTCGCTTGGTTTTTGCTGCGAAATATACTTAAAAAAACAGTTCCTTTTATTTTGTACCTCGGTAAAAATATATATAGTAAAAAAATTCTCCTTAATCTTTACATTCAATCACCACCTAATCCACATTTTATTTTTTATTAAACCTGATTTTTTTCAAAAAAATTCTAAGTTGTAAGCTAAAAAAAAAAAAAAATGAATGAAATTTTTACGCTGACAAGAAAGAATTTTTTTAAATTCTTGTATATTACTCATGCTTCAAATATGCTGTAAAAAGTATTACATATTCATAACCTTATAGCTGTCTGGCCATAGCTTAGAAACATTCATTTAAAAAAAAAAATAATAATTTTCTGACGGTTTCCGTTGCCGGGACTAAGCAAGTTTTACTTTTGTCTTTGTTCACTTGTATGAGTGTACTGTAGACTGTAGCTGCTCCTGTCGAACTGGCCATGTACCATAGCTTACCTCCTTGGGTATCCAAATACTGAAGTACTTATTGCTTTATCTGGCCTCATAATCCGAGTAAACGCTTTGTAGAACGCGCGTGCGCATTCACACTAAATAAAAATAAATAGTCGGATCCCTCTGGATCTGAAAAGTCTTTTCAAATGCAGCAAAAAATATGGCCTGAAAAAATGTAAGCAAAAGTATTTCAAGTATAAATTTGATATTTACGGTTTAAAGCAGCTAAAAAAAAAAAAAAAGAGAAAGAAAAAAAATGTATATGTTTTTTGTCCACTCATAAAAAATAGGAGAAATATTTTTAAGAAAAAGTTTTATATTGGTATTACCTTTCAATAGGTCGTGAACTTGACGGAACTGAAAAATATTGATTTGTTATCGATTTAGAATTGGGGGTGGGGGTCCAGTTTATTGATATGGTGTCAAATCCCTGACTTTTACAGAGTTGGTATGAGGTATTATGTTTTTACTATTTACATTATTCGAACTATTGTCCTCATCTTTGTCGCCATATTTATTACAACGTTTCGGCTGTTGTATGCTCCGGCCTTCTTCAGGTGATTGGAATGTCGAACTGAACCCATTATTTCGCTCACTGGGGTAGACTGATCTAGTTGCACGTGCCATGTTTAATGGATGTCAGTTGTCTCCTGTTAATTCCCCTCTCCAAGTTCTCCACTGCCTTAACTGGGTATTGAACTCACACACTTTGGGTCCTGTCACTGGATCTAACGCATTTATCCACTGTGCCATGTGTCCTTAGTTAGATCCACTTTATCCTTTATCCACTGTGCCATGTGTCCTTGAGGACTTGGAGAGGGGAATTAACAGGAGACAACTGACATCTATTAAACATGGCACGTGGAATTAGAACAGTCTACCCCAGTGAGCGAAATAAAGGGTTCAGTTTGACATTCCAACCACCTGAAGAAGGTCGGGGCATACAACAGCCGAAATGTTATAATAAATATGGTGACAAAGATGAGGGCAATAGTCTGAATATAGTGTAACATCATTGATATCTGCATTTTTTATTTTATTTTTATTTTTTTTAATTTTCTGAAATTTAAAACTTTTTTGAAATCTTTTTTTTTGGTATGGGACTTTTTCAGAAACACATGCACAGACATTTGAAGTTCATGATTATAAATGAAGAATAAACGTATGTGTAATTAATTTTGGTAATTTTTTAGTTCTCTAATTAAAAATGTATCAATCTGAAAGTCAAGATTGATTTCACGCTATAATTATAAACAGGTCTCACTTCTAAATCAAATTAATTAATATTTTTTGATTCTGATAAGGTCACATGTGTCACTGCTTAAGGAAAGTCTAAAGAAAGCTAATAAACAAAAATTATTTTCTCCCAAAATTTCCTATATGTGGACCAGTATATTTAAGTAGTGCCTAATTCTTCCTATGTGTGAGGAGGAAACAAAAATGCATTTTCTCAGAATATGAAACTTGGTAAAAGAATCTATGAAAATCCAGTATTTATTTGGTATCTGCAAATAGTACTGGATGCAAAACTGCAAGATACCTTGCACTTTTTTTTCATCATGTATGCTTATTTTTTAGTGAATCTTTAACGGTACCTAAATTAAACCAAATAAAACATGAAAAAAAATGGAAGACAGTTTACATTTTTTTCTTTTCATCTTTTATTTGGTTGTCCAACCAAATAAAACACAAAAAGAAAAAGATGAAAACTGTCTTCCATTTTTTTTTTCATGTTTTATGGAAAAAAAAGTGAGCTAAACAGATTTATTGTCAAAATCTTTATTAAGGGGAAAGACCAAAGGATTTTTTAATTAATAATATTTTTACGCTTTTTTCGAACTTAGAAAATTTTGGTCAAAAATTTTGTTTTCTTGCAGGACCATAAATTCGTATGGGAAATTTAAATGTCTTTTTGCAATGAAAACTCATTGGTTTGGAAACTCTTGCAAAAATTCAGATAATTGTTGGATTTTAATGAAATTTTCAGGACTTATGCACAAATGAATGCAATTATTTTAGGATTTTTTTTTTTTTTTTTTAGAAAATCTTGGTAAAAAATTTTTTGATTTTTTTTACATCTTTTGCCAACCCTCACTTTTTTAATTTATGAAATGTTGAGAAATTCATTTTTGTAGAGCTTAATGTTTATATTAGCTATAAGGCTTTTAAAAGGGCAAGTCTTTGGAAAATTTAAATGATCAAATTCTACTTTT